GGAGGGGTGGGTGGAGAGGGGCAACGACAGCAACGGTCCTTGTACTTTTATATTTTTGTGGTTTTTTTTGTAGCCTAAGCGGGATGTTTGCTATCGATCTGGCGGGGTACTCCCCTGGGAAACTCTTGGTGGGTCTAAAGCCGGAATTGTTAGGACTTGACATTTTGGGGGGCTCTCCCGTACTACTGAGGTGGGCTCACTATGTGATACCGTGTGTCTCTCCTGCCGGAGATCGGTGGCACGGCTATTCCTTACCTGTTATAACGTATGGGATGTGTGTATTTTTTGTATTTTTCTAAACGGGATCGTTTAGGGGATGGGGGAGGGGGGGAGTTGGGCCACGGTGGCTCGGAAAGGTCGTCCTAGTATGTCCCTGGGTGGTGTACCTTTAGGGCACAATGGTGGTCTACATGTAATATGCAATCTCCTTGCGCAACTCTGTTGGCTGCAGTGCTCAGCCTTTTTTTTTTTTCCCTCTCCGCATAGGAGTTAACCATAGGGACGCCTCAGTTTTGTGTGCTTTTCGCACCTAGAGTTTTCTCCACGGCCGCACACGAGGGTCAGACAGTGTCTCACCCTGTGTCCGGTACGTATACTCTCTTTTACTCTTTCTTGTTCTGGTAACCCTTTTTGTGTGTTTGTCCCCCCTCCCTTTTTTTTGTTTTGTTGTCGTCCTTGTATGTCTCTGTGTTCTCTTTCTGTTTCTCCTGTCCTTGTTGTAATTCGCCTCCAGCGGACCCCGAGTAGTTGGGAGGCTATCCGCTCAAGTTGAGGGATGGTCCTCCTGGCTTGGGGTCCAAGTTAGGTTTCTTGGTTAATTGTTGAGAAAAGTAAGGTGCAAATGCATGCTGACCTCTAGTACAGATTGATGGTTTTATTGCACTATGTATGAGCAGAAGGGAATGGACATGCCGGGCTCGGCTGTGTGATGTATAAGCTGAATTTCTGTATATGTTTCATTATGCAGGGCCATGAGGTCCTACTGTGTCGCACTTCTGTACTATGTTGGTATGCTTATATAAATAAAGAATATAAAAAAAAAAAAAAAAAAGTTACAGGTAGAAATGTAGAAGACACACAGCAGTTTGGCATTTTTATAGCACATTTATTATTATGTTCAGCTGTGTCTGATCTTGGCTCATACCCCATCATCGCTCCTTGTCTACCACCTTTGTACTTCTGCTGCCCAGCTGTGTCTGACCCCGGCTTGTCTTCTGACCTTGCTGCCTGCCTGATGTCTCAATGTCTTTGCTGCCTTGCTTTTGCTAATCCTGGCCTGCAATACTCTCCAGTTTCCAGACGGCATGCCGGCACCTCGCTGCATATGGACCAGCTGTAGGCCTCTGTGCCACTCCATGTCCTGCATACTCTGCTCCAACTTCTGGGGGTGCTGGACAGGACATGTAAGGGAAGCCCTCACATTGCTTGGCTTCTACCAAGCACGTGACACAATCACAGTGATCTCCGATGGCAATTGCAAAACCCTTAAAGGCAATTAGATGTTTATCCCCGTTATTTCGTCAGAAAATTGACATTTTTATTTATTATTCAAAAATACTAATCGAGTTACCAAATATAATCTTTATTTAAACAAACGTTCTGAAAGAAATAGTGTGCATTCCTGGTACATATCCATTTATTATGTAACCATTATAAAAATATACATCTGGATTACTGGCTCATGGTGAACATGTTTTTGGGTAGCTATCTTTTTAGACACTGTGTAACCATTTAACGGAAATGGGATTCTTTTACACTTGTAGGGTTTTTGTCAAAATTCTTACCTTTCAGTGTGTTTGTAGGGGAATGTGTTATAAAGGAAGCAAAACAGTTCAACATTGTCTTTTTTCCTCATAAAAGGCTTTACATGTTTATTAGCTAGGATACTGCTGTTTAGACCAGCCTTTCTCAACCAGGGTGCCTTCTGGATTTCTCATGGGTGCCTCAAATTTTTTACCAGCACCATATAAACTAATGATACTAATTCAGGGAAGGTGGGATTCATTCAGAAAAGGACAGTAGTGCTCCTGCATCCAAGCCTGCTCCCACCCTCGGCCATGCTGCCACAGCTGCAGCTCCTGATCTAAAAGGGGGGTTCTAATGCTAAGTTGGGCTTCTGATGTGAAGAGGGTTTCCCATGTAAAATAGGGGATTCTGATGTGAAAGGGGGCTACTAATGTAAAGGGAGCTCTGATGTGAAAGGGGACTCTGATGTGAAGGGGTAGCCCCATTTGTTTGTATTTGCATAGCGTCACCAGACCCCTATCTGGGAAAATGGTCTATGGAATTTTGCATTTTTACTTTTACGTTTTTTTTTTTACATTTTAGACTGGGGTGTCTTGAGAGTTTGCATACTTTTAATGAGTGCTGTGATTGAAAAAAGGTCGAGAAACACTGGTTTAGAGACACAGATCTAGACAAAGCCTAAAGCTGGCCATATACCTATAAATTATCTACAGATTTTCTATGGTCAGATGGTAAAACTGCAACAGATTCCTCCATCTACCCTAAACTGTGTGGATGGAGGAATCTCCAACTGGGCCAAGCTTCAGTATCTTGCTTGTCAGGCCTGCTGGCTCTCAAAATACCTGAACAATGCCTGCACCCAATCAGATTGTTCAGGTATTTTGAGAGCCAGCGGGGCTGACTAGCAAGATAATTCGTTTTGGCCTGCAGAGAGTGGTGGCGCATAAAGCTCAGCACACATGTTACAATCTTCTTTAGATCTATCATCAACCATTTAGTGAAAGGGTCTGCCTGATTGGATACAAATTGATTGGATAGTTTGGGTAGATCCTTATATTACATAGTTTTGGTAGGTTTAAAGCTGATTGTACAAGGATTGTATGTCTAGATTGTAAGGTGTGTGGATATGTTTATAAAGATAATGATCATAAAGGCAGTTAACTTTCTCCTTTGACTGCGTTCCTTGGTTACAGTAACATTGAGGGCTCCCACCTTTCCATAACTACCTTATAAACAACAGCAGAGCTCCTACAGTACTACCAGACTCAAGTCTACCCAGTGAAATAAAAAGGTTTGGATTTACTAGGCTCTTCACTTTGCAGTGAACGTTTTCCCTTACCTTGGTGAATGTGGTGAAAGTTTACGTTGCAAAGTTGCATGGTTTGTAAGGTTGAATAAAGACCAAGGTTCATTCAGTCCAACGTGTGTGTGTGTGTGTGTGTGTTTCTGGCTTTACCACTTCCCATATCCCTGTAGATTCTGCAAAGAATTCCCAATCACGTGCAGTATTTTTCCTTGCACATGACTGGAGGATGGAAGTCAGCAGATCTTCACCACATGTACTAAGCTAAGGGTTGACTACACCTGCATAGTGCAAATCCCTTGCAAAGTGGACAGCCTATTTGCCTTCAGCAAACTAACCCCAAAGAGTCTCAAAAAGAACCATTTTAGTTTAAAGCGGAACTCCAGTCACATATTAAAGACACAAATAATGAATGCATTCATTAATAGGTCATTACATGTGTCTTTATGCAACCAATGTACCTGAATTTGACTTGATATTAGCCTATTACAATCCCCTATGCAGCAGCACTCAGGCTAGGAGACAGTGTCAGTACTGTGAGCGAGTCGGGTGTGTTGACAAGGAACATGCTAATATGGGGAAAAAGCATAGCGAGCAGAGAGATGAAGTTATCAGACTTTTGTCTTGCGAGTGTTGTAAAGTAATTAAAAAATTAATAATAAGTAATTTAAAAAAACTTTACGGGCTTCCGATGACTGCAATGCTGAACGGCAGTTGTCAAACAAGTACGCCACTCTCTCTGTGGGTTTTCCAGCCTGCTTGTTCGACGGAAGACGTGCGATCGTACAGTAGAAACGGTTGCACGCCTTCCATGCCATTATCGTACGATCGCGGGATTTCCCGCGATTATTGTACGATAATCGTACAGTGTATGGGCACCTTTAGGGCGATCCTTCCAGCTTTGCCCCCCCTGCTGCAGTGGTCTAAGAATCCTCAAGTCATTATGTCCAATACACCGTGTATTGGATGTGAGCATGTCGAGAGACACACCATTGCTGCCGCGAGAGGCTGGAGGGAGTTCTGTAACAGTCGTCCGGCTGCGAAGTTCAGGTGAGTATAACTTTTTTTAACTTTAGTTGCTAGACAAAAATGAGCAGTTAACCTTTGCAGTGCAGGGGTAGCCCTTAGAGCAAGGGTTTATAAAGAATTGTCTCAGAGTTGTTCTTGAAGTCCTTTTGCAATACCAGAAGTAAAAGTTGTCACTTCAGCGATCCGCTCAGAAAACCTGGGGGCTGCAGCAGGGTCTCTGTGTTACTATATGGAGTTTGGATCTCTAGCTTCTCTAACTGAAATACAGGTAAAGTTTTACCCCTACAGGTTATTAAGTCCTGTGTTCCTGAATTTTAATGCCATGAGGTTCATTGCTTCTATAATGCTAACAATACACTTACACATTTTCCATCCAATGTAACCAAGACTGAGTCCATGACCATCCTTATATTCTTTGAGTTTTCAAGGGTACAAACCTAATTCATTGCAAATACTCCCTGTAGCCCTTATAATTATATATACGCAATGAGTATTTACATCCTGTAAGAATCAATGTTTTCCTCTATATATAAATGTCACATATTTGTCTCTGTACAGAACAATGAGTGGTATTTACATTGGTTCAATGCCAGAACATTTCTCCACAGGTAAATAGTGGAAACTAGGAATTACATATCCATATTTAGGAAATAAGAGCAGCTGTGAATAAGTCTCTCTTACAGGAGTGCCAAATGTTCAGTATTAGATTATTGTTCTTTACTGCAGTTTCAGAGTCTTCTTTACTGCAGTTTCAGAGTCTTCTTTACTGCAGTTTCAGAGTCTTCTTTACTGCAGTTTCAGAGTCTTCTTTAATGCAGTTTCAGAGTCTTCTTTACTGCAGTTTCAGAGTCTTCTTTACTGCAGTTTCAGAGTCTTCTTTACTGCAGTTTCAGAGTCTTCTTTACTGCAGTTTCAGAGTCTTCTATACTGCAATTTCAGAGTCTTCTGCAGAATCATCTGCATAGAGAAGTTCCTCGGTCAGTGAGTTACCATCCAGAAGAGTATCGCTCTCACACCATGGAGCTCTACAACGCGACAAACTGTCATGTAATAGTGGAGCGCTGGCTTGCTCTGGCTCCCGACCCTGCTCGTCAGACACCCCTTCCAAGATATATCTCTGTTCATCTATATTGCTTCCATGGACCTCCACAATCACAGTGGTGGTGTCGGGTCTTGCAGGAGTAATATGCACATACTGGGAATCCACATCTATTTGCATATCACTGATTTCTGGGTCTTGGGTAAAGAATTCGCTGTCTTCGGGTAAGCTGGTGTTAATGTAAATAACGTCTTCTTTGTCCACTGCAGGGGGTAATCCCTGAATAAATTTCTGTAAATATTCCTTCACTTCTGTGAATGAAGGTCTATTAGCTGGTTCTGGTCTCCAGCAAATGTACATCAGTTCATACCTGGAAAATTTTAAGAAGATAGGACAGTGTTATTACAGTTACCCTGGAATTGTTCATCGTAATACAACCAGTAAACCTTTTATGTACCCTGTCTGTAAGACATAGAGGATCATCTATTTTGTATCTAACATAATATCTACTCTTCAACATCTACTCTTACTCCACTTTCATACATGAAAGCAGTTATTATCTCAGGATGCCTTTGTTTTAACTTTGGTCATAAACACGAATGATCAGATCTCAACAGCATTCCTGTTTAAGACCCCATTCACACTGAGCTACATCAATGCTTTCTCAGCGCTGATTTGAGCTGAGCGACATTGAGCTACTGTGCAAATTTTGTCGTGCTACGTAGCGCTTCTTTTGGCAGTCTATCAAAGCCTATTGGGGGCCATATCGCACAAAATCCGCTGGAGAAATAGGTCATGTTCGAGTGACAATCTTGAGCTACAAGCTAAATGCGATATTGAGCTGTGAGATGTGAACAGCTCCATTGAAATGCATTGGACAAGCTACATTGAGCGATATTTGAGCGTAAATCACTCAGTGTGAATAGGGTCTACTATATGTAGGAGGGAAGGGAAACCTGTGGCTTATATGCTTCAAATAGTCTCACCACCAGCTTATCATGGAGGAATAATCAAAGTATGGATATCAAATAAGAATGAATGAAAAATCTACTCATACTGTGGTCACAATTGTCACTATATGAGGACATTGTACAATTATTTGTTTTGCCATCCAGTGAATCTAGTATGCTCTCAGACCAGTTAGATGTTAAAAAATTGGTTATGAGTATGTACAGCAAAGTCTCTGAACCATCCAACGAAAGCTTGGGTTGGCAACAAGGGTATCAAGTTGGCAACAGTGCCAATACTGTTGACACTGGTTTTTGATTAGAATCTGGTACTTTACCTACTGGGGCCATTATCCAGACTAAAGGACTTCCTTTCTTTAAGAAAACTGTCTTAAATGATTATGTGCCAACACTAAGCTCTTCTTTTTAAAACTTAATTTACTGACTTACTTATTTACCTAATTTTCAAGTGCAGGAGATCACAAAAGCACAAGTAAAACAACTTTTGATGGAACATATCAGAGATATTTTGACTCACCCAGGGTCCCTTTTCAAGCTAAGAGGCAAAAATCCTGGGAAGCCCAAACCTTGCCTCATATGTTCCATTATAAGAGCTATTTATTTATTGTATTGTGACCATTTGGATTTGAAGTGTTTGATAACATAGAGACTATAACATTAAAAAGAAACCCCCTGTAATGACTTGTTTTCAAAGTCTGGAACTTATTCTTCCTTGGTGCCTGAAAAGGTCAGTGCACAGGGCTTTAGCTTGAGAGGTGCAACCTACTAGAGGACAGTGTGATTAGAAATCATGCTCTTATGATGTTAAAGAACTCCAGGGGAAAAAGTTATACTGACCCAAACCTTGGAGGTGGACAGCTGTCACAGCACTCCCTCCAGCCTGTCTCTTCCTATGCGCCAGTGATAGTAGATCCCTCAGCATCCTCACATCCAATAGACAGTGTATTGGACGTGATGACTCAGGGATCTATATATGGCTGCAGCGGAGAGGGAGAGTCGCTGGAAGGGCCAGTCTTAAGGTGGCCATACACTTTACAACCATCGCAAGACTAAGGTCTTGCGATGGTTGTAAAGTAATTAAATAAACATACGATCTGCCCATCTTGGACAGGCAGATCGTACTTGCGATCATCGCAAGCCCGCCCCCCTGAGGGGCGGGCTTCCGATGACCGCAATGCTGAACGGGCAGTGTGCGCGTACGCACACCGGCTGGTTTGAATAATGCACCGCTGTCTCCCGGGCATCATTCAAACCAGCTGAAAATCTTAAGATTTTCGGCTGGTTTTCTAGCACGCTCCTTAGACAAAAGACGTGCGACCGTATAGTAGAAACGGTCGCACGTCTTCATTCACACTGCACGATTCTCGTACAATCGTGGGATTTCCCCACTGCAAGGGTTAATAACATTTTCCCCTGGAGTTCTGCTTTAAGGAATAGAAGGGCAGTCTTTTAGACTGGTAAAGCATTTCCTCCTAAAAAAACCTGAATCTTATATGCACTACCACAAAATAAATGTGCAGTGATTGTGTTTGGTTCATTGTGCAGCATGTAATACTTACAGCTCATCTAGGCAGTCTGCTGGCTGCTTTAACCTATGACCCTGGAGTAAATAATCATAGATTTCATGGTTCTGGACCCCGGGGTATGGAGTCATGCCTCTGGTTGATATTTCCCACATTGTGATTCCGAACGCCCACTGCAGATAAAACACAAAAGAAGGAGGATGATATTTCCAGAAGCCTTGAATGAGCCCTTTCACTGTAAAGGTCAGTCCCCACTATCCCACTCATGTTGATCACAGACACAACAATTAACATTGCAAAGAGTTTGGAAGTAACACACTATTGGATTGTTCAAGGAGATTATGCAAGAGGACAACAACATCCATACAGCATGACCAGCAAGTGCCTTTCTCTCCATTTGCTTAGTTGAGAATTATTACATAATTAGTTCTAAAAAAGGTGGGATTTCTGTTAATGGGTGCAATAATCCCAACACATCCACTATAGGGCACATCAATAGTTAAAAGAACAGTCCACCCATAACTGGTGTTTCAGGTTTGGATAGATGCTGGAGCCATAAACTACATACTTAACCTGGTGAGACAACTGCACTTGAGTTCCTAGGTCTGCATATCTGATCTTGCCATTATAATTTTTCCTGTAGCCACTAATCAGATGAAGCATGTTGAATTGTACATGTGAAAAGTAAGCCAAGGCTTTATTTATTACAGGTATTTATATAGCACTGACAATTTACACATCGCTTTACATAGTGCACATTCACATCAGTCCCTGCCCTCAAGGAGCTTACAGTCTAAGGTCCCGATTGTACATGCATAAAGGGCCAAATTACACAGGAGCCAATTAAGGCATAAAAGTGAAATACTGAGAATCATTTTGGAGTACAAAAGACAGCAAAGTGCCAAAAGAATGGATCAGTAAGCTGAATAAATATTACTTAATCTTATATTTACTACAAGTTTATAGGTGATGCATTTTGGGTAACACATACTGTAAATACCCCTACTTCAGGGCTATAAAAAAAAAACTATACACTGTCAATAGGATGCATGAATAATAATAAAAAAATATAGGTATTATTATCATTAGAGGTAGTGCCATGACTGGATAAAATAAATAATTAGCAATAGGCTAAAAACATCCACAATTTCATGTATGGCAAACAGATGCGAACACATAACACACATATGTTAATTTATGACACAGACTTAAAAAATTTAAGATGTGGTACATAAAAACTTGATAATCTAATTTTCAAAAGATATCAGAGATACGTTAGACTACAAATAAATGAAAGTACATGTAAAGATAAACACAAACAAACACATCCGCCGAAACACATCGGCTGAAAATGGCACTTTTGGCTAAATGCCGAAAGTGCCATTTTCCTGCCGATACATCGGTGCATCCCAGTTTTCTTCCCTCCCTGCTGGGCGCTGCTCTGTGTCCCAGCGGTGAGAAGACAAAGTGACAGCCGTCCGAGCGCTGCGAGAGGAGAGCGCTGTGAATGGCCGGTGTCGCTCATCCCACCACGCTCAGCCACCTATCTCAGTCTGGCAGAGTGGTGTGTGGGTGGAGACAGCGCTGTCACAGGAGGCTGAGCTCTCCTTCCTGCTCCGCACGCTCAACCTCCCGTGACAGCGTGTCAGAGAGGAGAGCAAATGCAAACACTCAGTGATCGCTGAGTGTTTGTAGATAATTGAGGACATAGTTGCTGTAAACATGATGAAGGGACAAATGAAAGATGTGTTTCCAGTGTTCAATAGGGATAAGCTGAATGTTGCTAATAATTCTTTAAATAAGAGATCATCATTATTTAAGAATGAATAGGAACCTGCAGGTCTGCTTTAGGTAGATTAGGAGAAGGGCTGGCTGCACTTTATTCTCCATTTGCAAATGCTAAAAATGTTCTTGCAAATGTGGAAAGTAACATAAGCCCTTCTTAAAGTGGACCTTTAACCATATCTTTAAAAATACAACAAACACACCTTTAGAAATGTTTAGTAATGACAATCTACAAACACATACTTCTAGATAATTGCCGGCTTTGTATTCTTTGCATTCCTTGTTTCTTTTTTCTTCCCCAGTCTTCTGACAGTGGCCATGTGTACTAAGGGCAGATTACTAGATCTCCTATTACTTCTCTGATTAGACATGTGACCATGCACATCATCTCAGGGGAGGAAAATCCCTGAGATCTCATGAGAATACAGATGAGATTTCCCAGCAATGCTCTACTGATGTAACCTTCCCAGGATGCAACTCTTTGGCACATTACATAATTTGTGCCAGAAGTGGACCCGGAAGTAGATGAACATTTACAAATAAAGGAAAAACAAGTTTGTTTAACTAATGAATGCAGAGCTGCATGCTGGTGTGATTTTTAGTAAAAGGGGGTAAGAGTCCACTTTAAGTCCTTGGCTATAGGGGGAATTAACAGCACTCGCACCAACACTACTGCTGAGGGTTATTGCTGCAGTCACTGACAACAATGTTGGGGGTTAATATTGCGGTCACTGACACCAATGTCATAGGTTATTATTGCGACCACTCATACCAATGCTGAAGAGTTATTATTTTGGTCACCAACACCAATGCTGAGGGTTATTATTGCTGTCACTAGTACCAGTGGTGTTATCCTGATCACTGACACAAATGCTGGGGGTATTACTTTGGCCCCTGATGCCACTGCTGTAGGTTATTATTGAGGTCACTGACACCAATGTTGGGGGATTTATTGTGGCCACTGACACCACTGCTGTGGGTTATTATTGCAGTTAGTGACACCAATGCTGGGGGTTATTATTGTGATCACTGGCACCAATGGGGGGGGGGGGGGGGGTTG